ACTGGAACAAAAAGGCACGAAGAAATTGAAGGTTAGTCGTTTGAAAGAGAAAAAGGTAGGTTTTGAATGGTAAGTGTTAATAGGGAAAGACAAGGGACGACTGGGTAACGAAGATAAAGCCATTGAGACAATTCAACAAACATGTATCGCGCAAGAAAAATCAGAAGGGCGTGACGAATAGGTCATGGAGTAGAGTCAATAACTAACTCTGACAAAACCAAATCCAATAACCCATAGCAAGAGCTTTTCCCTCTGGGTTTTGTTATCGCCGTTTCAGTCCCTCTCTTGCTTCCTCTCTACTGCTGGGTCGCCTTCTCTCTTTCTCAATCTCCCTCTTAATTTCTCAATTATTTTTTCACAATCGCCGATTATAAGGAATTGATGGAAGCGAGAATCCTCTCCCGACAAAGACGCAAAAGCTCGGTGCTGGGGTGATCCTGAGATATCTTATCCAAACCGTCGTATGATATCAATTGAAACTGCAATTTTTTTTTTTTCCTTCCCTTTTTCTTTTTGAAAAAATTATTTTACAGAAATGAAAGGAGAAATGATAATAAAATTTTTAATATATAAATAATAATTAAATCTCTCAAAATATTATAAGTTTTTTAAAGTTTTTAAATACTTTTCTAACATTTATGATTTTAGATTAAATGATCAAACTATCTCTTATTTAAAATAAATATAACGAGTCTAGCTTTATTTCTTCCATCACAATTTTTGTTAAAATAATCACAACTTTTGTTATGTGAATTATAAAAATTAAATAAAAAATTACAACTTTCAATGTAAAATTTCTTTTATGATTGATAAGCAAGTTTTGAAAATAATTAATTTCAATCACAATTTTTTTAAACAATTACAACTTTGATTATATGAATCACAAAAATTGAATAAAAAATCACAACTTTTCAAATGAAATTTCTTTTATCATTAAAATCTAATTTATAAAAATAATCGATTACAATTTTTGTTTAAGTGCAACGTTTCACTCCACTAAACACATTTAATAAATCAAACTCATAGTAATCGAGGGATTATCTCCAAAGAGTGATTACCAAATTTTTAATTCAAAAATAAGAGATCACAAGTTTTCCAAATAAAAACAAGATAATATCAATAAAAATCTTCCATATCAAAGTAAAAATAAGTTTGAAAAGAATGTGATACCTCAAAGGAGTGAAAAAGTCAAAAATAATTGAAAATAAATTATGTCCTAAAATACAGAACAATGCACCGCGGCTTGATGCATGAAAATTCACTAGTTCTGTTGTCAATTTGACAGCAAAATCAAGAAACTTTTAACTCACCTCGATTCTCTGTCCGACATCCGAACGAAGTGATCTAGGTGTCTATAGAAAGCTCTTTTCCTGTACTAACTAATGGCATGGGTTTTTCTTCCAAAACAAGTCACACTAGGAAGTTGGACACCCAAACACATTTTAACCACTTCTTAACACTTTTACACAAAGTGGATGTCCAAAACTCTCAACAAGTGCTAAAAGCCTTTCCTAATACCTAGACCATGTCCAATGGACATAGGACTACCATTATAATATATCACAATTCACAACATCGAAATATCATTATAACAAAAATTCAATCCTCAACCCCAATTTAACAAAAATAAGGGGGAGATAAATTAACATTGCATTTAACTTAAATCATTCAAAACATGCTCAAATCTCATTTCAACACTTGCACTAATATTTTGACCCTGTATATATATATATGACAAAAATACCTAAAGGCTGAGGGTCCAAAATACAATTTTAACATTTTCAACAACCAACATAGTGCAAGTAAGATAATATGCATCATAGGATTGACAATTTATATGCTATTACACAACTACATCAAAACTAGAGGCATACAAGAAGGAATGTACTAATTCCCCGCCTCTTTAGTCTTCTCCCTCTCAACACTAGAGCTAGAGCCTGAAAAGGATTAAATGAGAGGGGTGAATCTAGCCACTCAGTAATCAAGGTTAAACCTACCCTAGGCAGTTATATATCAATTATAAACAAATACATGCACAAGGAGATCAAATTTATAAAAATATGTCCCCATATATCACATATTATTATTATTATCGCTTTCTAACTTCTTTACTCATATAACTAGGTGCATTGTCGCCATATTTTCAAATTTGTGACATGACCCATACTCTTGCAACTTGCCACCACTTAGCACATGTGATACGTCATATATTTACTTAGGTAATGATTAACCAGTCTTATATCTTCATTATTTCTTCAAACTAAAACGTTAGGCTATAACATGGATTAGAGCTCCGTTCGTGTAATTAGACTACCCAAGCACACCAATTGTGAAGTGTGACCCGACCAAATATCACAAGACTCACTTTCCAACCACGACTTTCCCTATTCTCGAATCCATGGGGTGTCTCATACCCTAGGCTATTCTCCTCATTGAATCGGTGGAGATAGCTAGGTTCTAGTCCCTTGACAAATTATAAGACAATCTCTCGACAAATAGTGGGACAAGGCTATAGCCCCCATACACCGGAGGGCAGCTTAATTACCATATGAATTTTCTTTACTCCCAAATCTCTAGGCAAACTCCCACCACTAATCATGCCATAATCATCACTCACTTGAGTTTACTTTTTTGCTTTCATTTACTTACTATACCACAACCACATTGGGTTCACAACCTTGCCTTACCCAAATGTGTATCCCCATCCTTTTCTCAAATTTATTTCATGACTAACCCACAAATATCTCTACTGATCATTGCATTTATTTTCAAAACATAAGCATTTTCATAATAAAATCCTTTTGACTTTACATTTTGCATTTCAAGCCAAAATAGCATTATGCTCAATCAAATGTTCATACACTCAATGAAAACTAATGTATAATGTTACATAAAAATCAATCTCATGCATGTAATATTCACCATTAGCATTCAAAAAATTAATTAACATACAACTACTCAAAGTAGAGTTTTCTCCCGATTACTTGAAACTTTTGAGAAGTCAAACGTTTACCCCTCAATCAATTAGCTTTCAAGTTTGGATTTCCACTCCAATAGGTGACCAAGAGCCAAAACTACAATCAACCAAATTGAATTCCATCAACACAACAAACTCAAACAATTGAACCCTCAATTTCTACTTCTAAATTGCCCAACCTTTACCTTACAAGAGGTGGAGCCTAACCATTAGATTTAATAATTACCTTTAGCTCCCAATGGCATTAATGAGCCATTAAATTTCCATTAATGGCATCACAAACTTCCAATCACCCATAATAAATGGGATTTTCGAACATTTATGGTGCCCAACAACTCATGCCACCAAAACTCATCACACCTAAGTTTAAATACTCTAATCTACCCCCATTAACTCTATTTGAGTCAACAAATTTAGACCCATAACCTATATGGACCGAAATCCCACCTTCACTATTAAACTCTAACCATAAACTCATAAATGTGGAAGAAAATGGGAGATTAATGAGTATGATACTTATCTTGGGTGTTTGTAGCCTTCAAAATACTCTCAAAGTAATCCCCAAGCAAATCGTAGTAGAGCATTAGCACGCCTCTCCTTTCTCTCTTTTCTTTTCTTTCTTTTTTCTATCTTATTTCGCGTCTGATAAAGTACAGAAAATTACTATGCGTCACGACGGATGCACAACACGCCGTAGCGCATGGCACAGAGAGGTCTTCCCTCGCTCAGAGATGGCTGTGCGTTGCGGCAAACGATCTACTCGCAACGGCGTGTGGCACAGCAACTTCAACTCTTCCTTTTCTTCTCCTTTCGATACCTAGAATGGTCCGCATTGATACTGGACCCACAACTAAGGCTGAAAAAGCATCAAACAAGATTATTAGACTTCTCTGGCCACACTCCACTTCAATTTACTTAATTACCCTAATTAGGTTTAATTAATTAAGGAATTAAAACTCGAGATGTTACATTAAGCAATCACAACTTTTATTCTTTAAATTGCATGAATTAAACAATAAATTATAACTTTTTGTGTAAAATTTCTTTTATCATTGAAGTCTAAGTTTTAATAAATAACTGATTACAACTTTGAATTACATAATTACAACTTTTATTCTATCAATTGTAAAAATTAAACAAAAAAATGCTTCTCACATGAGCTTTTTTATTTTAAACAAATGGCAATTTAAGCATTTAACATAACATTATTAATGTCAAAAAAATACCTAAGGGCTTCAAAGAAATTATAACATTCCAAGTGACTTGATTATCATTTATATAATTCAGTGAAATTTTATTGTCATTCTTTCAAAATGAAATCTAATTTAATTTTTTTAAAAATAGCATTTTAGAATTTTTATTTTTTTCAAAAATATATTATAAAAACTTAATGTGGCATAAAAAGATTATTTTTCAGTTTTTATTTAATATGTTTCAGACAACTTTTTTATTAATTGCCTCAAATTTGTGTATTTTGTAAATATGCTACATAGGATTCATTGAAAATTTCATTCGTCATCATGCAAAAAGCTTGTATGAATCAACAAGTCACCTGTATTTATAATTTTATACGGTTTTCGGTCGTCCCGTAGATGTAGTACCGCAATTTTTGTGTAAAATTATGCAAGTTAATTTAATTATAATTATTACCTGTGTAAAATTAATGTTAAAAATCACATCGAATTTAGTCATGGTCATTATATATGTATATATAATTAAATAAACTTACTCTTAAATTACTGAATGCTTGTATAAGTTTCTTGTTAAATTAATTCCTTTAATTTCAAAAAATAAAAAATAAAAAAATAACAATCAATACTAGGGAAGTCCATTTTCCTTCTATATAAAGTTGGTCCAAAAGAAAAAGAAAATTTGTATGATTAACAATTCATGTCCAAACGCTTGTTTAAATAGCTAGCGACTTAGATAGCTTAATCTAGGATCTCAGTGTTCGAGTCTTGAAATATGCAACCATGCAGTTGAACATACAAAGTATGTCTTGCTAATAGTACCTGCAAAACCCTTTGAAAAAGGACCCCACCTACATGGAGATCTGAATTAATCTGAAATAGAGTGGGCAGACAAAGAACCCAAGATACCCACACTTTTCAAGATACTAGGTGGGAAATAAAAAAATAAATAAATTCATGTCTAAGTATTGCTTAAAGAAACGCACGTTTTAGGGATGACGGGCACAGAACACCATCCCAAACACGACATCAATCAATGAACCAAAACTCGATTCATTAAATACTCCACGGGGAAGATAAACCGGGAAAAAGAAAATGAACGCTAAAATATACCGAAGGTTCAAGATTATGTACACGATATGTACACAAAGTAAAACAGATACTTTCTCAACAATTGATGATCAAATTAACAGGATATATCAGCGGCGTCTGAACTGAATACAGAGAGAATCACCTGGAATTAGTTCCAATGTAAGATTCTACATAATCAACATATATTTAAACTGAGAATCACTTGAATCAATAGTTGTGGCAGGATGAATTACCTGAAATCAAGACCAGTCATTTAACATCAGAAAGAAGATGGAAGCTGCGCCATGGAAAATTTGCTGTTCACCGGACATTTTCCGATTGCTTATACCTTGGGAATAGTGAGCCACAGGACTCGACTCGACAGTCACATGGCAAAAGATTTGGCTTGCCTCAAAGTAACCTGTGACTTCATGTATCTGTTTATTAGATCAGCAAGAGCTTGTATCAATGATTTGGGGTCATATATCACTCCAACTTTAGGATCACGTATCGAGTCAACAGCTATCTGCAGAAATAACAAACGTCAGATGCTCATAAAGTATACATAGATATGACCCAAACTTCATAAAGTATACATAGAAATGTCATTGAATCACTTGCTGCAATGACAAAAACCCGATTGAACATCTTAAAATCAAGCTTTTGTGAAAGCCAACTTGACACGGAAAAAATTGTAAACAAGGACTCAGTAGTCAAGGTTTTAACTCATATGGACCAATCACCATTGTGGTTATTCAGTTTATCATTTGAACTGGATAACCATACTTGGTGGTTATATGGTCCTATATCATAATTCCCACACTAAGTGCATGTCTGGTTTCCAGTTGGGAATCACCAAAACCATGTTTTGGTAGTTTTCAACAGGAAATCAAACATATCACAAGTCATTTCGACAGTTCAACATGTCATATGCAGCCCAAAAGTACGCAAGCTCTGTCTCTGAATTTGTCCACTCGAAAATTAAAAACCCTAGGTCTATATTTTGATCACGGCAAAGATGATACTCCTGCTCTCGGTCACTATTACTTTGACTTATAAACCAACATACCACTTCACGTATTCCTTGGGAAGCCAAACATTCTTCATCAACTGGAATTTCACCATCTCTTGGGACCAACAAAGTATTGATATACTGTCTAGGCTGCACAAATTTTTTAATAGAAGAAAAATTTGTGTCAAGAACAGGAGGACAGGACTTTGCAGTATAAGAAATGCTCACGACAGGGGGGAAAAGGCACATAGATGACGTGTCCCTAGTGTAGCAAAAAGCAATCAAATTGACTAAATGTATGGATTCTGGTTTTATGGGATTTCTTTAGCTACAAAAAATAGTACAAATAAGTGAATAATGGCTCTCTTAATGAAGCCAATTATAAATCATATGCTTTAATTGCACTTGGCCCCAGGTAATTTGTTGATGAACGGATTTCAACACTAACCAGGTTCTGCAAGCGATTACAGGGATCTCCATATGTTCGATTGAGAGCATCTGTAATGGCAGCAACAAAGCATGAAGCTGAAAAACCACTTGTCTCCCGGTCATGTGTGCCATTTAACATAAGTACCTGTCAACTTTTTTCCTCAAATTATTATTAACAATCTAGCACATAAGTCGCATAAGTTTCAATGAACGAGACACAAATCCAATCCACCATCAAGTAGCCAAAACAAGGTATAATGCAGTCCAATTTCGTAGGAAAGAGCTTGGTTAGTGCCATGCAAGTAAACAAGAATATCTATATATATATCCATTAAATAAAATAGTTTCATCTATCTAGATAAGAGACGTGCTACACTTGAACTTTTTAATTCTTTGGGTCTCATCATATCGGACTTGGGACTTGCCACCATATCAAAGGAAATAAGGCTATGCCCATTTTGGCCTCGATCAAGCAGCACAGCGATGCGAACAAGGTACAATCCCATTGATTGTCTTGCAATAAAATTTTTTTAAAAAATGCATCTTATTGAGACCCCAAACTTAGTTAGGAAATGGGTGGAGCCGACCCATAAGCCCTATTATACATTAGAAGTATCATTCATAAAGCTTGGACCTTCTTGTAAGGATTTAGGGCCCGACCCATAAGCTTATATTTATTTATTTTTTAAAATTTTTATTGAATACAAAATTAGTAAGCAAAACAAAATATAAATTATAACATCTAAAGTTTAAAGTGTAATTCTTCAGAGGATAAATAAAAAATACAACACAATAAAAAATTATAAAATTTGATAATTCAAATTTAAATTTGTTACATGTAAATAAGGGGGAGAAAATATAATCACATTAAATACATAAACTTTATGTTTCAAAAAACATCAATTTTACATCATAACATTACACTACAAACTTAAACCATGAAATTTAAGATTTCTTTTAAAAATAATTTTTTTAACATTAAAAAATAAATAAATAAGGGCTAGCCCAAGTTCTTCAAGGCAAGTCCTATTGGGCATGCCCCATAAGAACTCGGGCCCAAAAGCCCTATCTGTCATTTTCAACCAATTCTCAAAGCCCATCCCTTAAAAAAAAAAAAATGGGCCGGACGATCTACCAATCTCATCATCTCTTGCCAATGAGCTAAGCATTTGGTCATAACATGATAAGAAAATACCTTTAGACAGGATCTTGAAGATATGATCTCTCCAATCCCCAGCAACACCTGGAAAAATATGACAGTCAGTACACATATAATGGTATGATAGGACCAGCAATAATAACATCTAATGGTATTATGCTTTTCCAATATTATCATTCCCACTACATTTTCTTTCTTTAATATTCTTTTACAAGTAGAATATTAAATGAAGAGCATTTTTTAGAAGTTTATATACTTGTTTTGAAAAATAAAGTTGTGAAATATATTTGATGAGTTTTATTGGTATATATAACTTTGTCTAAAAATATCTTATAAATTGAGATGGAAGGAGTATTAATCAATAAAAATATTTTAACCAACTGAAAAATTTATTTTATAATATATAACATATATAACATATAATGGGTATATTATATGTAAAAGGTACATTATATATATATATATATTCTAAGGGGCAGGTTTAGCTTTTTAACTATATCACACACAAACACACACACACACACACACAAAGGGGGTGGAACCCTGGCCACCCTCACTACTAATGTGGTTCTGCCCTTGCCCAGAAAGTCAAATTTTAAAAAACCCTTAAAACTATTTTTCAAGGAACACCTGATATCCTATGCTATGAGTTGATGCAAAATAATTCATCAACTAATTAAATCATAGCATGCAACACCTACTGTTCATTTTGCACCAACGGATGTTAGTTGACCAAGTGAAAGAACTTTGTTGGCTGAAGCTCTGTTCATGTGGCATGACATATGGTGGAAAAAAAAAAAAGCTGGAATGCCACATAATGCCTTAAAAAAAAAAATCTTTCTCCTTATTCCTCTCCAACTCTGTTCCTTACGTCGAGTAGAGTAGGGCTAGTGGTAAGAGCTGCTATTTCCATTGAGAAGAAGACACCTGAATCCGAATGCCCACAAACTTTTCTCAATGAAAATGACAATGGACGTTCTTCTGCAGCTCGTCAATCACAGCACAGCCGCCGGTGTGGATGAATTAGTGCTCAAAGGCTTGCTTGAAATCTGTGGCATGCTGTCACTCTTTCCGTATTCCGTAAACATGTATTCTGTCTCTGAGATCTTCCTGAAACCCATTTTCTTGCATGGCTTAATGGGTTTTCTCCACCTATTGTTGCTTTTGAGGTTGTTCGTCTCGTGGGTGTGCAAGAAAATCACTAAAAGACATGGAGATAGTTCAGGAGAGAAGTTCAATAAAACTCTGCACAAGAAAATTTTATTGTGTTCTTTGGGTGTTTCTGGGTTCAATCTTATCCAATGTCTATTTAATTACTTGGATTCAAGTAGAAATTATTGGACTGATGAAAAACTCACGACCTTTTTGGATTTGGCTATTTATGCAATTGCTTCGGGGGCATTTTGTGTTTGCTTGCACACTGTATTCATCAATTCAGGCGAGAGGATTTTCCCATTGGATTGATGTGGGTTTGATGTGATCAAAGGCCAATATAGAGCATATTCTGGCATGGAGCAAGTGATTGATGCTAGCTCTCAAGGTCTCAACCCAGAAGCAGGAGATGAGATAATGGCAAGTGGGTCAGAGAGAAGATGAGATATGGAAAAATGAATATAGGCACCACAGTTTATAATAAATGGACGTTAGTCTAGAATAAACGATAGGCTTTGGGTGCTATGGTTTAATTGGTTGATGAATTATTTTGTAACAGTTCATAATAAGATACTGGATGCTCTTTGAAAAATAATTTAAGGGTAAAATTGATCTTTAACCCTTTTAAAAATATGGAGAAATTTTTGGGGAGAAAACATTGGTTCGATCATTATTACATTGCAACACCATCCCATGGTGTGAAAAGCATCAATCTACGGTCTGTACTAAGTTTGCAATCACCATCCCCAATAGAGGGGAGAAATCCAGATGGTTCGGTTCACAATCACTTCTCTCCCTTGTGATTGAAGTCCATTATCAACTGAAACCCTACCCTTGAAGAGCTGAAACCATCCCACTAAAATTCCTCTATATACAGTTATTGTTACTTGATGCTCATAAATGCTAAAGTTCCCGTAGCAAATAAAATATTTATCTATTCAGTAGATAAGCATTCTTTGACACAACTGATATCAAGATTTAATAATCACAGAATATCAATTAATTTTGCAATTGTTGGGAGTGGGCCTTTCTCATCATATTGGGCCCCCTCTAACTTTAGGGTTTCTTTGGTATTTTCCCGTTTATTTAGCTACATCGTTGGCCCAAAAAAAAAAAAAGTAGCTACATCACATCGTCAAGAAGAAATGTCATATAACTATGGAACAACTAAGAATCTTACTTGTTATAAAAAGAGAGAAAGAAAGAAAGGAACTTACCAGTGAAGGGCAGATAGAAGTAAAAAGAGAACCCATGGCATAAACAATGCAATCCACATTATTCAACTGCTCTAGTACAGCAGGATTAGCAGCAGGAAAGACCTATTTGAAAAGAAGATGAAGGAAGTAACGGTTATGAACCAGTAGTTTATGTTCAAAACTGAACCAAAATGACTAAAACTGAAAAAGTAGGTCCAAATCAGTTTTTTACATGATCAAACCAATTTGATCTGGTTGATTTGGTATGGTTTCGCTTGATTAAATTCCAAACTTAAAAAATGGCAAAAATTGATATTGTTCAGAAAATGTCACCGACCAATAAAGCTGATCACTGATAATAACCAGAATAAAATATGGATGAAATAAAACACAAGTATATGAAGTAATAATTGTTATCCCCTACAATGTAACATCATTTTTCTATTCCCACATGAGTGCGCATTCTGAACAGTTAGATACAAATTCAGAAATTCTATGGGTATAATATTAAGTCAATAATCATGTACTCCTTTTATCCCAAATTATAAAACAATTTGATACAAAATTATGCATACCAATAAAGCTCAATAATGACACTTTAAACTTACTTTTTCAAAATAAAAAAATAAGCTTCCAAAAATATCCTTTATTTAATATAAATTTAAATCTACGCACTCACTACAATCATTTCAATTCTCTCTCCACTTGAAGGATCATATTGGAAAAGCTTTATTGATGAAATCTTATTTTTATCAAATTATCTTACATTTTGGGACAACAAAATATCTCCAAAGTTGTCTCATAATTTGGGATGGAAGGAGTATTTATGACAGCAATCATCTAAGTATTTGGAAAATAAATATTTGGCCAAAAAAAAAATCGAAACACTTAACCAAATTATATGGACTATAACCCTAAACAAAATAGGTTTAATATTCGACCAAAAAAATCGACTTTACCTAATAGGACAAGGCTTGTTGCTGTTGTATTCTACTAGATTGACTTGCTCAATTCAATTTGGTTTTGGTCAAAATTGAACCACACCAAAACTATGAAAAACTCTCATTACCGAGGAATTCCATAGCAAATCAGTATATTGATATTTGTATTGTAAGAAAACATTGAATACATGCCAAGTTACGCTAAGTTGCAAGCTAATATGGATTGCACTCATATTGCACTGAAACCAGAGATTCTAGATTTCCATAAAATTAGACCATAAATTGAAAATATAGAAGGTTAACACCAGAATTTTAAGGCATCAGTTTGCAACAACTAATCATCAGACATCCTTGAATTCTGCTTATAATTCTGCAACAACTAACTCCGCCTATGTTTATAGCCGGTCCCAAGCCCGGGTAAAGGAGGAGGGTTGTGTTAGGCCATCAACAGCCAATGTAAAACTTTGTTGAATCTATCATGAACATGGACAATAGACGTTATAATGTTAATGCTAGGTCGTTGCCCGTAAGTAACGCGCTGCATGGCTCGAGTACAGTGATAAGTAAGTTAGAGCCGCTGCATCAGCGCCCGGATGTAGTGTTAAATGAGCAAGGGCTACCGCGTCATTCTGGACGCACGTGGCTAAAGAAGTTAGTCCATAAGAGCAAAATTAGATTTGGTACTTGGAATATTGGGACATTAAATTGTAAATCTGTAGAGGTTGTAGGGGTTATGATTCAAAGAAAAATCAATATCCTTTGCCTGCAAGAAACAAAATGGCGTGGAGAAGAAGCTAAGGATATTCAAGGTTTCAAACTTTGGTATACAGGAAAAGTAAGTGCACGCAATGGAGTAGGCATCATTATAGATAAAGAGTGGAAGAAGAATGTTGTAGAAGTTAGCAGAATTGGAGACAGAATTATTTCCCTAAAAATGATAATTGGATGTGAGACTGTTAATATTGTTAGCGCTTATGCGCCGCAAGTCGGGACAGAAGCTAGTCTTAAGGAATTATTTTGGGAGGATCTGGAGGAGTTGATTCGACATATACCACAGAGTAAAAAAATTTTTATTGGAGGAGACTTTAATGGGCATGTTGGGAGGAAAGCTGGTCAGTATGCGAGGGTGCATGGGGGTTTTGGTTTTGGAGAGCTAAACAATGAAGGACAAACTCTTCTTGATTTCTCATTGGCGTATGATTTTAAGATTGCCAACACTTGTTTCAAGAAAAGAGATGAGCATCTCATCACTTAGAAAAGTGGAGCCTCAAGGTCACAGATTGATTTTCTTTTGGTTAGGAATACAGATAGAAGACTTTGTAAAAATTGTAAGGTGATCCCCGGAGATGCTGTAACGACACAACATAGGGTCCTAGTCCTTGATGTGTGTATTATGAGTAAAATCCAAAAACGTCGACAAGTAGTAACACCAAGGATTAGGTGGTGGCAATTAAAAGGTAAGAAGCAAGATATTTTCAAGCGAAATCTTTTGGATAAAGGAATTTGGGAATCTCAGGGAAGTGCTAACATCATATGGGAGGATATGGCTAAAAAGATACGGGAGGTTGCAAAAGTAGTTTTGGGAGAATTGAAAGGTTCTGGTCCGAGAGATAAGGAATCTTGGTGGTAGAATAATAGTGTACAGGACAAAATCAAGTATAAGAAGAACTGTTTTAAAGCCATACATTTGTGTAACAATAAGGAAAATTGGGAGAGGTATCGTATGGCTAAGAAGGAAGCTAAGAGAGCTGTGGGTGAAGCTCGTTCTAAAGCTTTTGAAGAATTTTATAAGAATCTTGAGACGAAGGAAGGAGAGCAAAATATTTATAAGATTGCCAAGAGTAGGGAAAGAAAATCAAGAGATCTAGAACAGGTAAGGTGTATTAAGGATGAAGAGGGAAGAATTTTAGTTACAGATGATGAAATTAAAAATAGATGGGAGACTTACTTTTCTAAACTTTTCAATGATGGAGAAGATTCATCTAGTAACTTGGAGGATTTAGTAACTGGTGAAGGAGAACAAAATTTATCATTCTATCGAATAATACGTGATAAGGAGGTAAAGGAAGTTCTTAAGAAAATGGCAAATGGTAGAACCAACGGACCTGATTGTATATCTATCGAAGCGTGAAAATGTTTAGGTAAAAAAGAGGTGAGATGGTTAACTAAGTTATTTAATGTGATTCTACGGTCCAAAAAAATGCCTGATGAGTGGAGGAGAAGTATATTAATTCCTATTTATAAAAATAAAGGAGATATTCAGAATTGTACTAACTATAGAGGGATTAAACTCATGAGCCGCACAATGAAATTATAGGAGAAAGTAATTGAGCACAGGTTGAGATTGGAGACAAGTATTTCTGAGAATCAATTTGGTTTTATGCTAGATAGATCAACTACAGAGGCGATTTATCTACTAAGGGGATTAATGGAAAAGTATCGTTGTAAAGATAAAGATCTACACATGGTTTTTATTGATTTGGAAAAAACTTATGACCGTATACCAAGAGAAGTGCTTTGGAAAGCGTTGGAAAAAAAGGGAGTACGGCTTGCTTATATTAAAGCCATACAAGATATGTATGAGGGGGTAAAAACTAGTAAAAGAACACCTAATGGTCAAACAAAGAATTTTCCTATAAAGATTGGACTACATCAGGGATCATCTCTGGGTCCTTATTTGTTCAACTTGATTTTAAATGTTTTGACGGAACATATTCAAGAGAAAATCCCGAAATGTATGCTCTTCGCGGATGATATAGTTCTTATAGCAGAGACAAGAGAAGAGGTTAATTGTAAACTTGAGTTATGGAGGAAGACATTGGAGTCGAAAGGTTTTCGTCTGAGTAGAAGTAAGACGGAATATTTATATTGTAAATTTGGTAAAGGAATATTCGACAATAATTTGAAAGTGAAATTAGGAGATCAAATTATACCTCAAGTGGAAAAGTTTAGATATTTAGGAGCCATTATTCAAAATGATGGCGAAATCAGTGGAGATATTTCACATAGAATTCAAGCTGGGGAGTTTAATTGGAGAAAAGCTAAAGGAGTTATTTGTGACCATAAGGTGCCTAATAAACTTAAAGGAAAGTTTTATCGCACTGCTATCAGACCGGCAATGTTATATAGTAGTGAATACTGGGCTCTAACGGGACAGCAAGAGCATAAAGTTGAAGTAGCAGAGATGAGAATGTTACGATGGATGTGCGGACATACACGTAAAGATAAAATTCGAAATGAGCATGTATGCGAAAAAGTGAGGGTGGCACCTATTGAGGAAAAAATGGTAGAAAATCGGTTGAGATGGTTTGGGCATGTACAAAGAAGACCAAGGGAGGCACCAGTGAGAAGAGTGGAACATATAACTTTGAGTCCGATTAAGAAAGGTAGAAGAAGGCCTAAGAGAACACTCTTGGAAGTTGTTGAACGCGATCTCTTAATTAATAATATTCCTAAAAGCTTGATAAATGATAGAGCACAATGGCATCTTGCAATCCATGTAGCTGATCCCACCTAGTGGAATAAAAGTTTGTTGTTGTTGTTATTGTTGTTGTTTCTTCTGATGTCAATAAGAGTGAAGCTCTCTAATTTATTGATATATTTTTATTTCAACTATTTCTTTCATGGTTAGAGAATGATTAATAATTTCTCTTCTATGGAAGTTTTCTTCTTCCATTACCCAACAGAAAAGAAATACTTTATTAATAGTAGGCTAAAATATAAAAAAATCCCTTGAACTTTAAGGGGGTTGCATATGACAACCTCACCTTTATATGTTTAAAATTAACCTCCTCAATCTCTTAATTTTTTTTTTTCAAAACCCCTACCATGTTAATAACTTTGTCATTTTATTAATAGAGTTTTCCATGGTAGATTAATAAAATACACATGGCACCTAACATGGAAAAAAATCTACAATATATTAATTTAATCATACAGGGTTCAATCCTGGTTCAACCACAGTCAGACCATTGACCCATGAACCAATACTTTAACCAGTTTAATGATAAATGCTTCTATAATTGCATAATCTATTTAATCCTTTTAACTTTATTTCTTTTCTCATTCTATAGCGCAATGCATAAAAAAGATGAAAGAATCATACACCACTAACTCTCATATGACATTGCAAATACTTAGACATAATAAGACAAGCCATTAACCTCATGAAGCAAATTTTTCCCTTCACTTGACATGTAGAACACTCGCTTTATTCTTGAAGGAAGTGCTGGAGTTGAAGAGTTTTCCTGCCCATGAATGCATAAAACTTAAACATTAGAAGTGCACGATACAAAAGCCAAGAAACAGTAGCACAGTACAAATACCTGGTAATTTCATATATAGAGAAAAAATATATATTGGTGAAGATAAAAAAATAGAGTGAGGACAAGGAATGCCCCCAGACCATAAATGAAAAACTAAACAATCAATAGCATAACAAACTTATCATTTATTGCTTTTCACTATAACCGCATCAAACTTTAAAACATATATATATATATATATATATAACTACATAAGTAAACTTCGTAAGTATTCAAATCAAAAACCAATATTCATTGGCTTGGATATTAACCCAAGCTTATCAAACTAAGTTACTTCATATCACTCACTTTAATATAAGAAGAGGAAAATCAAAGGACTTAGCTAACCCTAAAAATCTATTTTCTAACATTCAAACTAAACAGGCATTCTAGGCTGCATCAATCTGAAGTCTGAACTAAAATACACCACAAACACTGACATACCGCCATGCATACAATATCAACATGCACTCCACGCCATACAATTGAGCATGGTTATTGACATGAAATAAAGGCCAAACATAGAGATTAAATCCTCTCAATATTCTGATTCATTATTCCACATGGAACTCACTGTGATATCCAGTATACCTTAATTTTTTTATAATGATGATTATAATTACTAAGGGTTACTAGGATTTATGAATTAACACTTTAGAAATGTTAAAATCCAAAAATTAGCAAACTTTGTAGTTATTGGCTCTCATCTTATTACTTGAACTTGCATGAGTTTGTGTTAATAAGGTGTTACTAGATCTTCTCATGTTCCATGTTTTAATAATGGATCTATCAGTTGAAGAAAATGTCAATCCTCATAGGAATCAGATTTTATTCTTTGACTGTGTCTTTGTGAGATAAGTATAGGTTTATGTGGGAACACTTGTAATGCTTTCTTCAGTTCAATGTTTATATGATTTATTCAGCAAACTGCTATCTTGGTTTAGGATCCAATAAATTCCTATATGCGACTGGTGGCAAAGCTTAGTTAATATTCTTCTTCAACTCCTATCTTCATTTATTCTCAAACACAAGTCCATTTTCCACTTTAGGCTCCTTCACTGGCTTTTCAGGAAGTAAAAGTACTTCAGCATGGAGTCCTTAGCATATGATAGGACTTAAGTGTCAACACTAGACCACAGAAATCAGAAGGTAATGATCTCCTTTTGATAAATCTTTAACCTAACAGGTGATCTTCATGCCAAACTAGGTAGTCATTCAGTGGCTGCATGGTATGTATAATTTATTTCAGCGAAGTTCCCTTTTTGGCAATAGAACTTCAGCCAAAATGCTGTAAGACAGTAAGTGTAAGCATATTATCACAGATAACATACTAGCACGCCTATTAAACAGACTCCACGGACAGAAGTGTAAAAATCTTATCATAGATAGATATCATACTAGGGCACCTTTTTAACGGGCTCCATGGATCCACTGGTTGGATGAGAAATTTCATTCTGTCCCCGTATTATAGTTCCATCCTAAAATATGAATGAAAGGGATAATGCAACAGATTAAAAATGTTTCTGGAACTCACCTTCAAGAAATTTTAGATTTATTACTTTTACAAAGAAAAATATACACCCAGAATAATAACTCTACGGAACCATATCATGGGTAAAATGTTAATCGGATATAGAACCATCAACCATACCCATAATTCACATCCTAATGTGAGCCTATCATTGGTTGAAATCACTGGTAAGACCAGGCTATCAGAGGGAATTTCTGATACACGAGAAAACAAAAATATTGCAGCATCCAGGGACTGAAAAAATATACGTGCTCCTGCAAAAAAGAAATTCCCAACACTGCAAGGTTTATAAGATGTCAGTAAAGTTGCTGTAGCATGGTATTAGACAAAGAGTATTTTTTTCTGTTTTGGCCAAAGACAAAGAGTAATTATGGATTATGTATATTGCCACTTTATAGGATGAGGAACCTGCTTAGCTCATAATAACTGGTCATGAAAATAAAATACAAGCTGCACACGTAGTAGGTTATAATTTGCAAAGGAAAGTAAGAAAACAAAAATCCCATTACTGACAACTATCTCCACTACTTCGAAGGCAAGAGGTTGAATGAAGGCTCTTGAATCCATATCTAACTTTGTGCTTCAATTTTTCTAATAATTACTGCAAAGAAGGTTACTCCTTCCTATGTCCAAATTTTCAAGAAGATTTATTCCATAGTCTCTCAAAATAATAATCCTATCGCAAAGCCTGGAACTAAAGCAATCAGTTAGACTACACTAAAACAAAGAGGATAAATTGGTGGACATGGTAATGATATTAGTTTATCAAGTCCCTGGCACGTTATTCATTTCAATTTAGAAAGCATGTTATTTCACATGGTAAGATGGTGGGCTGTTCTTGTAGCCTATACATAATAATTTATTTTTGTGTAGCTTTTATTAATTACTGGGCCTTTTATTGATCACTTTGGCATCTTACTGAATATCCAAACTTTGGATCAAGGATGGTCAAAGAGATTGTATCTATCCTTCTTTTCACCAACATTGCCATAAAATGAAGCTAACATTCTACCAGACAAACCACTGAGCTTACATAGCATTCATGTTACAGTCAGGCCAGTTCTGCACTAAAACAATTAGACCTTTAAACTCACTCTAGTGAAGAAAATCAAGATGAAATGATAGACAAACAACCTGCCATTGCTGAAACAAAATGATTCATTGGATCGCCGAATGATCTGTACAAAGACAATGAAAGCCCACATTTTCCGCCAAAATATTGGAAGAGCGTAAAAGATATAAGCAAAGCATTTAGAACAACTTAGAAAATAATAATAGGAAAAGTAGTAGCAATATTTATAATAACAAACTCATGATGATGATGATGATGATGAAGAAAACAACATACTAAAGGGTAAAATATTAGAAAGATAACAATATTAATAAAAATAATATTTGTAGTGATAAATAACCTTTAACAAAATAGTGTATTTTAAATAAAGACCTCATATTGCAAATGTGATAAATTGGCATAATATGCGAGTTAGAGAGAGAAAACTAAACTCTTGAGAAATACTAGCCCCTTTCTTGCCAAAAAAAAAAAAAAAAACTCATGGAGAAAAAGAGGATGAAATTATCAATTTGAATCAAGAATCCACCATCTAGACAGCAATTATATATACGATGTATTTAGCTAATTTCAAAAACAATGAGAAAAAACATGGAAAAAGGCTGTTAATTGACAGAACAGAAATCCAAGAGAGAGAAAAAAGCATCAGTTTGCACATGGAGATCACCTGATTCTGGAAATAAGCAAGAAAGGCTCGAATAGTCTCCCTATAGGGTCTTGACACACCTCTCCATAGAGAGTGATCACCCTCCACAATAGAATACCTACAATGGGAGCTCAGCTTACTGCTAGACCAACAGTATTACTCAACAATAACATTTAGCAAATCACACGAGGAGCGAAGAAAATATTCAAAACAATTTTTTCCCATTAGATTGAGACACATGACCAGTTGGCTAGAGGGATCACATCCCATAATGGAAAGCATAAGTTAGTAGTAAGAGTTCCATCAAAGCTAGACGAAGGATAGATAGCACTAGTCAACTACTCACTCAAATAAACACAAATAATTGAAAAGGAATATGATAAACTAAGCGAAGGATAGATAGCACTCGTCAACTACTCACTCAAATAAACACAAATAATTGAAAAGGAATATGATAAACTAAGAGATTACATAATTGCAGCACAAGTGGAAGAAGGGAGAGATGAAAAGAGACAGACATTCGTTGACTATAGGAAATTAGACCAAGACTGACGTCCTCCTAAGGCAGAAGTTACAAAGGGATAAAGCCTTTCATTGTACAAATATAACCATTTCAGCTTTATCTTATTAGATTGATTTCTGAAACATATTTCTGAATAGATCAAAATTTATATTCCAAGTTTTTTTATGGACCAACACTAATTGGTAATGATTTATATTCCAGGAAGTAATTAGCAGTTTAGCACATATGACTCACTATTTTGTAACCAATTTTTTATCTCATTTCTTGGCCCTGTGAATGTGCGATCCAAACTGCAGTCGATCTGAAGGACAGATCCAATGGAATTTAGAATGATGATCAAGGAAATATAAGAGATGTAACATTAAAGTAGTGCCATTCTGAGTTTGCCAAAGAATAATTATTCACGTCAGGAAGAAGGCTTTTCAGAGCATCAATAAAGCGGTACCATTCTGATTTAGCATGATGCGGATCAAGTGATAGACGATGACCAAGTAATCTGCGAACCGCAAGAGCCTCCGCCGTACTGTGATTAGACAATCTCAGACACCTGGAACGTATGTCTCCAACAGCAGGACCCCCTGTAAATTAATCCATCAACGAATCAAATTTCTAATTCCTATTTCTAATAAGCATAAAAGTAACAAATTTTCTCAAACATTGATTAAAAACAGATCTTGGAGGAAGATAAAATCAAAATTTCTCAAACGTTGACTAAAAACAGATCTTGCTGGAAGTGAAATAGTTACCAAGGACGCGGACAATTTCAGCCGTACTTCCACCATCATCAGAAACAGGGAGAACATGAGCGACACGAGTGGTAAAGTTCTTAAGCTCTTCCGCGACGCCATTGAACGCTGTCCCGCCTGCACATCGAACCCCGAAAAGCGCTTAAATGTCCGAATCAACACGCGAGAAGAAGCAAAGAAAAGAGTAAATCAGACGGCAGCGAGTGAATGAAGCCATCAGGTACCTGAAAAGACGAGCAATGCGGGTTGCGGGTGACTAGGCTTAGCGTCCGAGGAACAACGACATTGGTGATACTGTGAAGGAAACGAAGCCATAGACGAGGTCGACGGTGAAGGGGAAGAAGATGTGGAAAGTAGGCTGGGGCAGGAGAAAGGGAGGGTCTTCCGCAGGGTGGAAACCGCCCAACTATCGGCCATGTTCCCGCGTCTTCGGCAAACAGACTTTAGTTTCACTGACACTCGCTGCCTGCTACCGCTTTCCTCATCCTACTGCCGTTGTGTCTCGGACCCCACGTCCACGCTACTCCCTCCACTTATTTAGGGGGAATCTCATTGAGGAACCCAAAATCAGGATGTTGGCAAAGAAAGTCCAATAGAATTTGACACTATTCTGGCGGCCAAGAGCCTCTCTTGCAAATTATATCTCTTGATGAATTAACTCATTTGCCCCTTGCATTGACAGCCGCTCTACATTCAACTTGCATCTCATGTCTCTCTCTCCCCCTTCCATCATCTCCTTGCCTCTCATTCTTGGATTTTCCATTTAAACCTTAATTGTTGTCGCCGGCTGTCTAATACCACCACCTCACATCCTCTACCCCTAGAATAGAGACAGCGACTCGTGAGGCGTGATATGGGTGGGTATCTCCATGGATTTTGTCACACATCCCTTCCTCAATCTTGTTTGCCTCACGTGATATAACATCCTAAGCCTTTAATCTGGAGATTTTAAGTGTTTTATAAGGATAGTAAAATGGTAATTTCTAAGTGAATTTTAGATTAATTATATTTTTGGGAGACTAATGTACTTAATGAATCATTGAATAATCTTAAAAGAAGATTAGGTCAGTATTTGAATAAGCCGTGGCATGGAGGAAGAGACCCAAAATGTTAGGGATTCTTTGTGCAATGCGCCGCGGTACATACACAAAATTTGCACTTATCAGTCGTAAAACAAACTGGAAATCAGAAAGGAGAAAGAGAGAAAATGAAAGGAGCGACGGAGGAGGGGCTTGTGACTGTTAGGGCTCGACATTGTGAGAGATTTGGAGGCATTTGGAGCTTAAATCATCATTAGATGAGTTCCCTATTCCCTCTCCTTTCCCTTTGTGCGAAATTTCTAACTTTTGGGATAATAAGGGCTTTGATTTCGATTTCTTTAGATTTAGAGCAAAACCCATTGACTTACTTAAGGTCTTTGGGAGTTAAATCAAACCTCTAACCCTAGGTTTAATGTTGGATCATATGTTTTGATAATTACAAAACTAAGAGAAGAGGTATTTGTTATGTATGCATATATATAAATAATCATGAATGAGGACAAAACCCTAAGAGTATGAAGAATCAAGAAAAGATGAAGATGCAACATCTTAATTTTCTCAATTGGTAATTATGATTATTTTTAAGGGTAATTTGGTCAATTTAAATAAATTATTGATTAATGAGGTTTATGGGAGACTAATATAATTTTTGGATCTTTGGACAGTCTTAGAAGAGGGCTAGGTCTGGTAAGGATAAGGGGAAGGAAGAAGCGTTTGAAAAGTGAAGAGCACAGTTGTATAGCTCTTCTCTTTCCTCTTTTTGGGTATTGTAACGAATATTGTCAATATATAATGCCAACTTAGGAACATGACATTGTTATAATTATCCTTTGATATGAATTTGTGATAAGGGTATGTGTGTATCTTGGTCTAAGGTTGATGTTGTGGATTAAGTGTGTGTGCTCGGCCAAGTTACACTTACATGTGATATATTTAAAGAGATGGATGTACTAAAATGACCAAGTTGATATGTGTGTTAGATTTTATCCATTCTTTTATGTTGTTGTGAATTGGGGTTTTAATGGTCATATTGAGTGTGAATTCTTAATTGTTTGTTATGATTGAATTATCATGTTGTGTGTGGTCCATTTGAAGTGGTCAAAGTGTCTTTGGGGCTAATGGCAATTGACATTGTGAGTTGAACACCTTTGTGTGTGTTTTGATGTGAAAACGAACCATTTTAAATTCAAGTTTTCATCTTTTAAACGGATGATTGTTTGAGTATAAAACCGATGCTATTAGCTAGAGGGCTTAAAGAGCTTTGTGTGAACACTTGAATCGCCCAAATTGAAAGTCGGATGGCAAAACGATATGCTTCGAAAGTTCAGAGGGTTATTATGACAACAATCTACTGTCATGACAGTAAGTGCACGCCGTAGTGTATGGTTGTTGTGCCGTGGCGCAAGGGGCCTTCAAGGGACTCTCCCTCTGTGCCATCCGCCGTGGAGGGTGCGGCTTATGCTACGGCGGACAGACCGAAATTGTTGAAAAGTGGCTTGCTTTAGCCTAATTTGATGTGGTTTGATTTTCATGCTTCCGTATTTATTTTAAATTGATTTTTAACCATGGTTTGAACTCAAACAATATTTTAAAAATGGTTTTTTTAGGATCCCAATATTTTAAACTAATTATCTTTAAACCCTTAGATTGTGATAACTTCTTTATGGGATTTTATTTAATTCTAGTTATTATAACGGCGTGTATAAGTGTGTCCTGGTAATGTCAAGGTGGACATTACAGAAGATGCTTAGGATAAGTTATTTTAAATTATCTTAAATTCAATGTGAAAACTTTGAGAGCTTAATCACTTTTCATAATCATTAAAATGAATGATCATGTGTCTCATTTATATGCATTAAGACTCATTTAAGTGCATTAAAGCTTGTAAACAATGTCTTTCTTACATGTTGAAATCTATAGTAGCTACTTGCAATGTGGGGTGCAAAATCACACGTGATTCTACAAGTCATTCACGAGATTCTACAGGTTAGGCACACTGACTATTAAATCACGCAAGAGTTAGGAAGTGATTTGCGTGATTTATCACTTGTGTCATGTGATGCCTTAAGCTTTGCTTTTGTATGCAAAATCATGCGTGAGAGCTATTGTTGTCCATGTAAGTTTTAGCAACTATGCTTCATTACATTATGTCAAAGTATTGTTTCATGTGTGAGTCTGTTGGTAGCCACACGTGATTTATCACTTATTGCACAATCATATTTTTCTTTATTGAATCTTAAGTCATCTCAAGCCAAGTTCAATTTGTTCACTTGTATGATCATTGATTCACAAATTTAAATCTCTTGATCATGCAAAATCTTACTTGAGTCTTATGCTATTCCACACATGAAAATGCACTCAGAGAAGTTTGTGCATTATTGCCTGCTATTTCACGCATGATAGCCTTTTGGTTTCGCGTGAGTTTTGTTCACAATAATTGGCTTTGGCATTCTACTAGTTATTTCACACCTAAGAGGAAAGAGGTTCCACGTGTGATTTGTCACTCAGAATTAATGATGGTTTCTTATGTGCAAAACCACACATGAGAGCTGAAGGTTCAGTCGCAAGTTTTAGCATATAGAAATGAATGCATTCACATATGCAAAATCACGTGTGAGAGCAAAGAGGTTTCACACAAGTTTTGGCACATAAAACTGAATGCTTATTCATAAGTGCAAAACCACACGTGAGAGTTCATAGAGTTCACACGTGATTTATCATATATGCATATCTGGAATAAGCCAAGTGCAATTTCATGCGTGATTCTACTAGTCACTCACAAGAAATTGCACCAATGAATAGAATCACTGTTCCAATAATCTATTAACTACTAAAATTATATATGTGATTCATTTTGAGCCAAAATGAGAATTAATTTTCTTTGAGCAAACTAATTTTTATTTGAGCATTTGAAAAGCTTTCAAATTGTGCTTTTACATCTTGCAATCATTCATTATTCTTGAAAAGAATTGTAAAAAGCTCTTACAAGTTTATAAGATTTCAATTGTAATTCCATTTATTCTTTAAGAGAGTTTTCTGCAAAAGCTTATTTCATTCTTCAAAAATCTAAAAAAAGTATTTTTTTTCATGTGTTTGTAACAGCTTGCTGAATTGTAGCAAGGTTTATTGAGTAATTCAAGGCAAGTTAAGTCTTGATAGTTATACTATGGTGGCAAGCACCAATTGAAACTTGTGAACTTAGTTGAAAATTTCAAGTGTGATCTTGAAGACTGGACGTAGGCCAAGTTTGAGGCTGAACCAGTATAAATCTTGTATATCTCATTTTCTTCCTTCATAATTAAGTTCTTTACTCTTTCAAGTTTTCAAAAGTTTTTAAGTGTCACCCAATTCACCCCCTTCTTGGGTGCCAGCCTATTCTAACATCTGGTGTCAGAGCTTGGACTTTTAATTAAGGACTTAATAATCTAAGAAGATCCTATAACTAGTTTTAGTGACATTATTCTCCCAAAAGGTGCTGAGATTAAAAGGGATTGGGTTCTTTCAATGTTTTAACAAAGTAACACAAAGTAGTTACTGATTCTTAAAATAATTATAGCATCTATAATTTAGTTTGATATCTTAGGATGGGATCTTTTTCTCTTGATTGAGGAATGCCCTTAGAATCACAGCTCTCACCTTCATGGGATCTTTAAATTTTTCAATTTTTGATGAAGATATTGCCTCCATTTCTAATTTATATTTTGCTCTAATAAATATACATGTTCTTTGCAATATCACCCTTATTACGCCGTTACTTAACCAAAACCATCATGGTAATTAAGGACTAACCCAACTAATTACTACATATAATGACTTCTGTCATTATCCAACACTAAACTCATCTAACACGAATAACCCTTACATTAAGGATTAATCATGGCTAAAGTTAATTAAGTCAAAGTTCTAAAAAATATTTTTAAAAAATGGATCCCAAAAACCTTTTAAAATAAATGATAAAAATAATACTCTTGAAATTACTTAAAATCAGAGTATAAGAGTATGGAAAAACGTGGGAAATAAATTGAGCATTTAAAACATATTCAAATAGGGGTAAAACAGACATTTTTGAAAACTTAGGTACATCCATGATAAGACACATTATATACACACTTTATATAACCATTTAGGACCTATTTTACATGTTATATTCCTCCTCTTGGTGCGTTCATGTCTTAATAGCAAAAATTTGTCTAAGGGGCAAATTATTGCACTAGAGGCATTTTGGTTTAAAAATTTGACTTTTGAAAAAATATACAAAAAAATTCATCCAAATGTATTTTATGTCTAGGAAAATGAATATGAAATTAGATTTTAAAAATTCAGTTGGGTTTGGAAGATATTAACTAAAAATTACAAAATTATGGTTGTTGACTTTGTTGACCTAATTAAGGTTTTGTGTATGTATGTGTGTATGGTTTTCATGTGTGACAGCCCTTGAACTGCATTTTATTATTTATCTTTCATTTAAATAATTACTTTCATGTGCCAAATATGAATTATTATGTCATGTAATTTATTTGATTAAATCTTGTTCATTACGTGACATAGGTAACATGTGTACTTAGACTTGCATCAATTGGTTAAGGTAATGCAAGAGGACTTGGGAGACCATATGTGGCATGATGGAAGGCTTAAGGATGGGGTAGATCTTATTTCCTAAGTGCAAAACATGAGCTTATTTATATTAATATAGGAATTATCACCCAACCAATGAGAAGGTGCTATCTAAAAAG